TCAACATCTCAGGAATTGGTTGGCTACTTCAATCTTATTTTGCATGCTTGCAAATAGATGAAGTCACTTAACCAACCAGAAGTGCGTTCGGTGGCAGCTGCTACCATGCTCAAATAAACTATTGTATAATCTTCTCACGTTAACTATTGTTAAAGTTTCTGCTATTGTCTGTGTGCGTGTAATGTTAATGTCATGGGAAATGGAATAGTCCTAGCTTCTTTTTGAGTAGTTCTTCCTGTACTCACTCTCTCCCTCCGCTTAAGCTTATCCAGCAACCACAATTAGTTCCCCCTCAGTTTTCTACACCCATTCTTTATTTTAAGAACGTTTGATATCTTCTTAGTTTTTATAAACCTATTCTTATAACTTGATTTGGAGTCAGCTTAACCGACATGAGGTTATATTTTGTACCTGTCTTTTAAGTAACGCGCATTAGCTATGTACTCATCGCTCTCATATTATTTGTATCCATTGAAATTCACACGTCATTTTGATTTGAATAGTTTCTTCAAGATAGGTGGGCATATCTCCTCCACATACACATTCCCACTTGAGTACCTAACCTATTTATAGTCTTGTGCAAGGTGGGGTTCTAAAAAGATTTTAATTAACCTAAATTCTTTGTAATTTCTAATTATAAAATAGTATAAATTTAATATTATTTATATAAATCTAATAAAAATTAAGTCTGTAGTAATGTTAAATATACTTTTGTTTAAGAGGATTGATCAGCTAATTTCTGCTGCCAATTACAGTTGTCTACCCACTGCTCATGTCAGCCCCCAAGCCTATATCCCTCAAGCGCAAGGTACTCATTCTTTATCCACTTTATTTATTTTTTTAATCAAAAAATTTTAGTTTGTAAAAGCTGGTGTATTTAAGGCTGAACTTGATGAGTTCTTGAGGCGTGAACTTGCTGAAGATGGTTATAGTGGCATGCAAGTTCGCGAGACACGTAGGAACACTGAAGTTATAATCCTGGCCACTAAGACTCAATCGGTGCTAGGCGACTGCTCTAAACGCATCAGGGAATTGACATCGGTTGTTCAAAAGCGTTTTGGTTATGAGGCAAATACCATTTGCTTGTATGCCGAAAAAATGAACTTTCGAGGTCTTAGCGCTATTGCACAGGCTGAATCTCTACGGTACAAATTGTTAAATGGACTTCCCGTTAGAAAGTGAGCTCAAAAATTAAATATACTTTCAGAGCCTGTTATGGAATCTTGCGGTATATTATGGAGTCTGGCGCTCGTGGTGCCGAGGTTGTTGTTTCTGGTAAGATTAAAGGTCAGCGGGCCAAGTCCATGAAGTTTTGCGATGGATTAATGGTTCATTCTGGTGATCCCGTAAGGCACTATATAGAGAAAGCTGTAAGGCGTGTAATTCTCCCGCAAGGTAACTTCTTTAATATATTTACTTCAAGGTGTCCTTGGCATCAAGGTTAAGATTATGCTTCAACATGATACTCTAGGAAAGCTTGGACCGAGGAAACCCCTTCCTGATAGCGTCAATATACTTCTTCCAAAAGAAGAAAAGATGCCCATAATCCCTTCGTCCGAAAGCCGCGCCTTGTAACTTTCTTTAATACATATTGGTATATTTATTATCTCTATCCTAAATTATTTTTATGGTCGTTTTGCTTAATTTGTCGGTCGCAACTCTGACATTTGCAAAGTTTCCTTACCCCTCGTTGCAACTAATATGTTCTGATTTATTTCCATTCTCGCACATTAACGCATGTTCTGTATTGATGCAAATGCTTTATTGTTAACCTCCATTTAAGGCATTTGGTGAATTTACACTAATTTTGGTCTTCAGTGATACCGTATTCCTAGCTGCCAAATATAAGTCTGTTCCCTTTAAGGCTGTCAAATGGTGTTTCATCTTCTCGATCATGGTCTCCCTCATCATTCCTCTTAGGCCGTTGAATTCATGCACGCGTTATTCTTTTTACATTGTTTTTTCTGATATATTTTTCCTTTATGACTTGATAATGGTACCGAACTCTCGTGAGCATAAATTTCTTCGCTCAGCTTTGGATCATCGTGCAATCTTCTCCTGCTTCAGAGATTATCGCGATTGAATGTTTATTCCTAAAGTCCTTTACTGCTGTTTTCCTGCTCTTTGGTGATCTCCTGGCCCATATTTTCTTAAATGAGAAAATCATAAAGCCTATTCTCTTACCGTGAGGCTTGATTTGTTTCCTCTCCATAAACTTCTCTGTCTGGCTTTGATACACCTTTTGTTAGAATAGTATTGCCACCTTGATCTTAAATTGCTTACAAATCTCATTTGGCTCTTTTCTTGCGTCGATTGACCTGCGATTTCTTGTGCAATTTACCTTTGCAGTTGAAG